AGCCTCATTCATTGATTTACTTATTTGCCAGTGAGTGTGTGCACTCACCAGAGAGAGAATCCCCAAGAGAGAATGGTCATGCACAATCTCTTCTCCATTGCTCCATCCTTCTGTGATTTGGGACATACACACATATGCACCGAGTGTGTTCTTTAAGTTGCCAAGGCTAAGATTTGAAGTACACCAGGTGGTATCCTGATCCCTTAACCACAAGACCACAGACTTGGCCCAGAGCTGCTGCTGCTTTTGTTCTTTTCTTTTCTTTCTTTTTTTTTTTGGTCATAGGGTACATGTGCTGACCAGAGGGGGAAGTGAGAAATCATCCCCCCCGGGGAGTGGGGTGGCAACGCTGCTATCTTTTGTCCTCCATTCTTCTGAGATTTGGGGTACGCATGCACCTTCTGGATCTGGGGCTTGAACTGTGGTAAGCCATGTGGGAGTCCAGAGCCTTAATCATTATGCCACCTGCTAGTCTCCTCAAAGCTTCTTTTAAATAAGGAAATGAAATCTGAGTAAAACTGCTTGTCAATAATTTAAATAAAATTTAAAGGTAAGGAATTTGGTAAGAGAATAATGATGAAAATAACAAAGACAGCACACCTGTATTGAAATCTAAGGGCAGTGGTGTTAACCTCTAGTGAGAATAAATCTACCCCTACTGAAATATCCATGTGCACTAGAAGATCCCAATAGCTCTCCTAGGCCTTGATTTCTGTCTATCCTTACATCTTAATATGAAAACAACAGCCTAGAAATAACAAATGAGCCATCTGCTCAAGTGATGATCAAGGCAGCCAGGACAATTTCAGAGCAGGGTTCTGAGTATGTCCAGATAAGTCCTGCTGTGAGAATGACTGAAGAGGGAGTCTCCTAAGAGCAGATAAAATTTCTTTGCAATGTTTGTCCTAAGGAGAGAGGCCCTTCCACAGGAAGAAAGTCAAGTCCGGTCTATTTTTACAGGAGTATTTCAAGTGGTTAGTGGACTTATTTCCTGTGGTTCCCAAGAATTCTGCAACAGGCTCTCAGGAGGATGTTGGTGATAGGGAACAGGGACTTGATGAGTGAAAATCAATAATTATCTCTATATTTGCTTCACTTTTTTCTATAAAAATAATCTAAGAGAAAAACACTTGCTTTTAGAAGAGCAAAGTTCATTTCAATAGAGAGCAGAATGGGAAATGAAAGCCCTTGGTGTGTGGTAGAATCCTTAGACTAAGATTTTGCACACTGAAAATTCATTTATCCATTCATTCTTTCTCACTTTCATCTATTCAACAAATATTTGAGCAATTTCTTTGTGCCAGCCATCATCTGAGGTCTAGGGAGAAGGTGGGGCAAAAACATGGCTTCTGTCCTCCACGAGCTTATAATCTACCAGGGAGAAAGATAGCAAACAAGGAAAACATGTGGATGGATATGTAATTCATTACAAATGATGGCAAGTCTTGAGAAAGAAAAGAACCGGTGGCTACAGAAGAGTAACATGGGGGTAGAGGAGAGACTGGACTTACATGGGGAGACAAGAGGAGGTGACCTTCAGCTGCCACTTGAAAGTTGAGAAGAAACCAACCGTAGAACTGTTGGGCAAGAGAATTGCTGAAAAGGGGACAATTTGCAGGGAGGCAGTAATATGGAGAAGACCACTGTAGGTTTGGGAGTCCATGAGAAGATGGAGTGGCTAGAAGATAGGGCCAAAGAGAGTGAGTGGCGGGAGGTAAGGCTGGCCCATACATGATCCTATAGGCCATGGTAAGGGTTCAGATTTCATTTTATGGAAATGAAAAGCCATAGAAGGATTTAAGCCAGGGAATGGCAGATGATACAGGTTTTAGAAGATCTTCATGGCTGGGTATAAAAATAATGGGAGAGGGCAAAGAACAAAAGGGGGGATATTTCAGAAGGTACAGCAGGAGCTGTGGTGGACTGGCCCAGGTGCTGAGAGTGCAGATGGTAATAAGTAACCTAATTTGATAATTATGTACTAGAGTCAAAGGACTTGATTAGTAGACCTCAGAGAAACTGTCTGCCTAATAGGGGTGGGACCAGGATGGGATGACAGAGACACTTACTTTGAATGAAAAATGTACTCAGCAACCTAAATAATACTTTAATACAATATTTTTCAAATATCCAATTTAATGCAAAAATATAAAATGATAATAAAAATTATGAGTAACAGTGCTGGCAACAGAATGTGATATGAGCCTTAATGAAGCTGAAGTGTGTGAGTACAACTGTGTAGCATGAGACAAGTAAATGAATAAGTAAACAAAGTCATAAATTATCATAAATCTTATTTTAAAAAACACATTTAGATCTGAGATAGAAGACAGAAAGTGAGGAGGCATTTCTTAGGTCGGGTGGACCCAACATACCTGGACTCAGGGATGCAGATGCCGTGTGAAAATGCTAGGGGTTGATAACCACTTTTCCAAGTCAAATCCATTAAACACCCTACATAGTGGGAAATTTTGCAACCTAATGACATACTCCTTTGGAAGATAGTTTTAAAAGGCAACATTCACTTATTTATTTATTTTCCACAAGAACTTATCTATAGAAAAGTTATTCATCCCACCAAGAGTTCAAGAATGCACTATCATAAAAGCGTTTGAAAATGTTCTGCCTTCTCTTTGCCCTACCACATGGGCCTATCTAAATGTCTACACAGAATTTATTGAATTCCAAAAGAGCCCCTTGAACCTGGCAAAGTCAAGGAGGAGCCAAAGAATGTAGGATCTTTGGATGTCAAGAAGAATTATATGCAAAAATATGGCAGCACAGAGAAGTAAGAACTCACTCAGACGTTCTCCTTACACCTTGTTGCCTAATTTGCTTTCAAAGGTCAATAACTTAGAAATCTCCATTTTTTAAACAACCCCACCCAGCATAATGGCTCTTTGATCTCTATAATGTGGGAGAGGAGCGGTGGATGCTGAAGGATATAAATGGCTTTGAAAGGTCAGTTAGAAAAAAAGAAACAACAAGGAGGGAAACTGTGAGGAGTGGAAGGGATGAAAACAAACCAGCCTTTGAGCTACCTGCCAATATGAAAGGAAATTCCTATGAGAGGCCATGTTTGACAGAGGAGGCACTGTCATGGCTTACAGCATCTACCCATCTTCATGACTGTTCTGATAAATGGTGTCTTCACTGCCATGTGCACCTTCCTGGGGATACTGAATACCAGGGACAGACTTATCTCTTGGGTTAGCTTCTTAGATACAAGATTTCAACTCATTACCAAGCTCTTTCATCTCCCATCAAACATCAGTCATTTCCCAGAGCCTTTAGTGATGTTCTTTTGCTTCATTTCCTTCCCACGAAACCCACCTGGGTTGTGTGTGGAATGACACGGTCAAAGGACCATGAAGGTCTCAGTGATGCTGAAGCAAGAAGAATGGTCCCTTTTGGACAATTCCTGGCATCAAAAGAGTTGGCAAGTATGAGAACCTCTAAATATAACCCAAGTCCTTAAAAAGAAATAATGCAAAAGGAAACAAGTGGTAGGCTGTCCTAATGCAGGCTCTGCAAAAACTGGGCCTTGGAAGGCTGGCACTGGGGCAAGTTATTATTTTCTTCTTCCCTTTGGCTGTGACACTGGGTCCCATTGCAAATCCTGGCCTTACTGTTCCTCCTGCTTCCTGCAAGTGCTGGATGTCTCTGTAGGAATGTAACTCTCAGAGCACAGCTGAGGCCTCCAGCCCCTTTTTTAAGATCCAGAATAGACTGCCCTATGAAACGAGTTCCAAGGGGTTTACATTCCTCCATCGTATCCAAGCACCTTAAAACACAAAACCACACACTGGACTGCTAACCATTCTTCCAGAGACGTCTGGATATCATCTGTCTGGCAGAAATGTGAGTTTTATCCTTCTTCTTTCTTAACGTGTTGTCCTTTTTCTTTTTTAATGTATTGAGTGAGCCTGGGCCCCGTGGAAATGAGGCCGCCCAACAGAGGGGCAACACAATAAACTGATGTCTCAGGACTGAGGGTTTCATTCTTGGCTAAGCCACAGATTTGCTTTAACAAGCTGCTCAGCCTCTGCGTCACTGTTCTCTTGGCCAGAGAAGAAGGGGAGAGGACTAGCAAATACGAAATGATTACAAAGTACCTAACATGGTTTCCCCACGACAGCCTTCCAGAGATGCTCATCTACTCACACAATGTTCTGTGGAATCCCACGTGCTGTAAAAATTCAAATAATCAATCCACTAAAACACAGGCTCTTACAAATGATAATTATACCTGGCACTTTGCCGCATTCGCTATACACAAGACCCTTCTCAAGCTTTGTCCATCCCTTCCCCATAAAAATGTCAGGATCATACTCTTAACAGCTTCATTTTAGCTGAGGCAACTGGGGATTAGAAAGGCTAAGTGACATACCCAGTATACAAGCAGTTATGGAAGCATCAGAAACCAAGATCCAGGTCTATAACTCTTGGGTTATGAGAACATCCCTTCTTGGCATTTCCAACCCAGTCTGAAGTAGGACCATTCACCACCCACTCTTCCATTCTTGCTAGTGGCCTCTGGTCTTGCCGAAGCCCTTTATCAGCAATGACAATTGACTGCTGTGACAAGAGCCAAAATGTTCTCACAAGAGGTTAGGTCACCTGAAGAGGTATCAGGAGTGACCATTGGGTAAGCGCTGACAGTGGACCACTATTGCACCATGGAAGAGGCTGGTCTTCCGGGGAGCAACTTGCAAATACTCCACTTCGTGAAAATGAGTTATCTCCTCTAGCATACTGTCATATGGGCTGCAGGTGTCCTAGAGGTTGGCATGAAAAGTGAGTAGAGAAGCTGAACGGCTACTCAGTCCAAAGAGCATTTTGTATCCTTACCTATATTTCTACAGTGATTAAAATGGTGGACTCTGGAGTCAGAAAACTCTACCTTTGGATCTCAGTTATAACATTTATTTAACTGTATGGCCTTGAACAATTCATTAAAATTTCTGTGCCACAGTGTCTTTAGCTGTAAAAATGGGGGATCAAAAAGCAATGCTTTGAGTTAAAGACAGCACCCCTTTTCTGTTAATTAAACTTTTGGACATTAAAACAGGCTAGGGCAGGTGGTCGCACAGAAAGCATTACTCTTTTGGATTAGCCACAGTAGCACAGTAGTGATGCAATGCTCCACGATGTTGAAGCCACGTGGAAAGGTCCCTGATTCGTGTTGTGAGTTCTCCCTGTACACACAAGACACTTGAGTGTGTGCCCATGATCCCAGATGGATGAGGCGTGGGGTGGATTCCACCATGAAGACCCTGTTAGAGGTGCCCCCTCTCTCTTTCTCTCATGGAAGACCTTAATTAACTTTTTAAAATAGAGAGAAAAAAGGAATGAATTACTTTATTAATTTATTTCCTAACCCCTCCTTCCCAATTTTCCTAACAGAATTTGCAGATTAATTAAAATAATGTGTGTAACATGCTTAAGACTGTACCTGGTACCTAGTAAATGTTCAACAAAGGATTGCTGGTTTATTATTTATGAACATATTTCATTATTTATGGGTAAATCCAGAGCAGGCCATTAGGTAACAAATGGTAGGTCAAGCCCTCAGCATTTCCAAAGAGATAACAAACATGTACTTCAAAAGATAGAGTTTGGAAAAGCTAAAGTTTCTAGGTCAAGAAGGAAGAAAAAAAAAAAAAAAGACCTAGCAAACAGACCATCATTCTAAGAGCTGGAAGGTCAGCTGACTTCGAGAAAGGAATGTCCTTGCTGAGCTGGTTCTGGAGATTGTAACTTGCACAAGAGATTCAAAAGATTTTTGGAAACACATAAGTAAGAGAAGGTTAAAGGAAGGGATGGGAGGGAGGCCAGAGTCCCTGCAGAATCACTTTGCACTTGGCTCCAAGCCCCAGAGCTTTAATGCGGTGGTCTGCAGGAAGGATATTTCCATTTAAGATGCATGCAGATCTTTAGGCTGGCCCTGAGCTTACAAAATACTCTGGACTGGGGTATACTATAGAACTTGGGCTGGTAGAGCATGCCACTGCACCAGGGAGCACTCCGTTTTTTTCTCTCTGAGTCGACACTATTTTCTCTAAACACTTAAAAGAACTCCTGACCTCCAACTGAATAATGCTCCATGGAAATGTTTAGGAGTGGATAAGTCAGGCTGCAGAAAATGAAAAGTCCAGACTCAAAGAGAAAAGTAAAGGATATTGGTAGAGATCCTAGAGATCCTTTGTGTGTGTGTGTGTGTGTGTCTGTGTGCACACATCTGCTTGTATTTCTCCACTCTTCCTTAAGGAGTGTAAGAAGCAAGGATGGGATTGAGCTATTCGGTGATCAAGCTGGATTAAATTAAAAGTCTCTATTTTTTGCCAGTCCAGTTGGTCCAAGTGTCTATGCCCCTCTTGTCTGAAGCATGGCTTGATGAGTCTAGTAAGCATAGATTGTAAACTCCTTAAAGGTAGAATCTGATTTCTACTACCAGTCCCTACCCCCTTGTCTGAAAAGCCTTGGGCTAGATATATTAGTGCATGTATATCAAGGAATAGCTCCACTAGGATCTGGGACAGTACCCCAGAATCAAAGACATAAGTAATTTTGCACCAGATTCTGTAATTTTTCTTTTCTTTTTTTGGAGAGGTTTTTGCTATAGGGCACATGCGCTCGCCAGAAAGACAGAGAGAGATGGAAAGTGAGAAATCACCCTCCAAGGGGGATAGCCACGCCGCAATCCCTTCTCCTCCATTCTCCTCTTGGGATCTTGGGCACCCACACACACGTGCCTGGTGTGAGTTCAAGCCACTGGGTCCAGGACATGAACCTCGGTTGACTACATGGGAGTCCAGAGGCTGGTCCCCAGATTCTATAAATATTAACATATAATGGGGATAAATGAAGACTAAATAATTTCTTGACAATTTGAGTCAGATTTTGCTACAATCCAAGTTATAAAAGAACTTCCAGTTCATAAAACTTTTTGGATTTCAAAATTGTGGATTAGGGTTTTCAGGCCTTTCATTTCCTTTTCCTTTTAAAAATTCCAAGGTATTTGTAGCATTCTGCCTATGGTGGGTGCTAGGTAGAGGTTGTTGACACCAGAGTGCCATGTCTTAATCTCCATTTGGTTAATCGAACATTTGATTCTGGAAGCCAAGGAACAATTTATTCTCAGTGACTTGAAGTTGTTTTTTTGTTTTTGTTCTTTTTATTTGTTTTAAGAATTATTTATTTATTATAATTATTTAATTTGCTACAGAGCACTAGAGAGAGTCAGAGAGAGAGAGGTAGAGAGAGAAAGTGAAAAAGTAAGCTGCCAGGTCCAGGACTTGAACCATGGTCAGCCATGTTGAAGTCCAGTGCCTCAACAACCATGCCATCTGCTTTTTTTTTTTTTTTTTTTGCCATAGGATGCATGCGCTTACCTAGTGACAGAGAAACAAAAGGAGTGAAAGGGAAAGTGAGAAATCACCCCTGAGGAGGAATGGCCACTCCACAATCCCTTCTCCTCCTAGGGTGCATGCACATAGACATAACCAGTGTGATTTTCAAGCCACCATGTCTGGGACTCCAATCATGGTCGGGCATGTGGGAGTCCAGCACCTTAACTGCCTGCTGGCCTCCAACTTGGAGATTCTTTAGGATTAAAAAGATACTAAACTGAAGGGCAGTACAGGAAGACTGTGCAGAAAGGTTCATCCTGGATAGTAAGGCAGGAAACCCATGAAATATACAGAGAATCATCATTAGTGTTTCATATTCAACACCTAAGCAAATAAAAACAGTGCATCATTTTATAGATGTGATGATAAATTCTGACCTATCACTTAGAAAGTGATATTTTTCAAATATTGTTAAAATAGTACTAAACGTTAAAGATCAAGTTTATTCAATCCGACAGCAATAGCACAAATGATTGGCAAAACCAACAGAGTACATGGGTGATGAAAATTAAGCTAACATCTTTTGAAGGCTTAGGAGTTTTCAAGTTCTCGGCTCAGCACTGGATATGCATTAGCATTTACTACTTACAACAACAGTGCAGTAGCTACTGTTAGGGATCTGTTTTGCAGATACGGAAACTGAAGCTCTGTGAGAATGAGTAATTTGCTAATGAGTGCCCCATTAGGACGCAAACTTAGATATGGTGTTATGCTGATAAACCAGCTAGCAGAGGGGAAAAGAAAAGGAATAATAAAAAAGAAAGAAAAAAAAAACCCTGATTTATAGCATTTGCCAACTTCAGTGGTACAAATACTCTTAACCAGGGTTGATTTCAAGCTACTAATGGTTTAACAACCAGCTAGCAACATTTCTGAAAATTTAAAACAATTGGCTTTCATGAACATGAATTTGTAGGAGCTGTCTCCTGCATTCCTTTGTAGTCCACAGTTCACCATCAACTTTGGAAGATGATGTTTCTGTTCAAGGAGCAGAAGTGGAGGGGTGAGGAACCATGCTGAAAGGCTGGCTAGGCCAGTCAGCCATAGCCTCACTCCTCCTCAGACCCATACAGATCATTGAGGGTGGAGTAGGAGAACTAGAGCAAAGAACACACTGTCTCCCTGCCGTCAGGCAAACTTTCCTTCACCAGGGGGTGTGAGGTGGGTCCCTGCCAGCCTAACCCATCCTGGCAGAAATAATCGAGCTTGGAATTCTTTCTCCAGGCCCTATAAATCTTTTCCTTGGTCAGACAAGGAAGTTTGACTTGAAACTAAAGGAGCTAACACCTTCCTCTGAAAGATCCTTCATTTTTTTTTTTGAAGAATAAAGTTTTGATTACAAGATGGGAACAAGGTTTGGGCTTGCTTTAACCAAGGGTAGGTATTCCAGTCTAATCTGAACCCAATTAAAATACACTTAGGCTCTTGGCTTACTTCCTTTGTCAATACCTGTAGGGTACTGCCTTATAATTAGGTTTCCTGATAAGATGTTTCCACTAGAGGCTCCTGAGAAGGATTGGCCCTCCAATCGACAAGAACACACGGGACGCTGATTATATGTAGGTACTTGCTAAGTGCTGGACACAGAAAGAAAAAGTGTGGTTTCTGCCTCGGGGCCTCAGAGATGATTAAAGGAAACAGTAGAGTAAACATAGTTAAATTACATTCATTCACTCATTCAACAAACATTTATCAGGTGCCCATCAGGTGCTAGGCATTTTGCCAGGCCCTGGAATACCATGGTGAACAACAGATTGGTTTGTACTCTCAGGGAGCTGACAGTACAGTGATGAAGAGAGACATTAATTAAATGTCTTTCAGTCACCAGAATGAATGTGTAATTAAAAACTGAAGCAAGAACTCTGAAGATATGTTCAATGGTCCTATGAGAACTGAATGACTCTGACCCAGTTAAGGAAAGTCAGGAAAGACTTCCTTGAGCAACTACGATTAAACTAAGATTTGAAGACAAACTGGGAGATAACCAGATGAGTAGGTTAGAGGAAGGAGAGAGGTGATGCTCCAGAATGAGGAAATGGCATGGGCAAAAGCACAAGGTGGGAGAGAGTATAGTGGTTTCAGGAACCAAAATCCAGTTTGGAGGGAAAGTATGGTGAGAGATGGTGCAGAGGAGGAAGCAAAAACTAGACCTGCCAGAGTCTTGCAGGCCATGTGAAGACTTTTTGGTCTTTATTCCAGAGCAGTGAGAAACCAATGATAGGTTTAAGCAGGGAATATAGACAGCCATTACGCTCAGTGCTGTGATGAAGTAAAGGAAATGTTGCTGTGGAACCACAAGAGAATGATCCAATCTAAACTGGTGTGTGTGGTGGGGAGGAACAGCAGGGAGGTCAGGGTTAGGGGGCATGTTCAAATAAGGGTTTCTAGGAGAAGAAATATCTGAGCTGAATTTTTGAAGGATGAGTATGACTTAGCTGGGTCATAGAGGAAGGGTAGAGAGAAAGAGTCAGAGAGGAAGACGACTGGCAGAGGAATGATGTTTTGGGTTAAAGCCTGAGTGAATATGGGGTTTTGGGCAGGGGGAGACTGGGAAAAGAGATCAATAAGAAAAAAGTGAACATAATTAGGCAGAGACTAGACGATAAGTACTTCATAGGTCATGTAGGAAATCTGGGTTTTATACTGAAAGGAGAAGGGAATCATTGACCCAAACAAAGATCTTCAGTAGGAGAATGATCATCAGAATCATGAGTTAGA